TGCTACCAGTTCTCCGAACTGCTTAAAATTTCTGCTACCGGTTGTCCGAAATGCTCAAAATTTCTGCTACCAGTTCTCCAGAACCTGTCGGAACCTGCTGAATTTCACCCCTGCATATCAATGGCCTGGGTAATTTATTCTTAGTGGTATTAAGACAATTTGCACGAACATTCTGATAAAAGGGTCAGTACAGGGGGGGAAAAGAATTGTCTCAACTGACCAATTTCAAATTTATCCATCATTATAAGAACCCATTGTTATAAGATATTTTATATTTTTATATTTTCCTTCTGAAACAGCAGTAGGCAGAATATTGAGTCTACCAAGCACCTGGTGGGAAATTGGGGAGAAGAAAGATGAGGGAGCCCACTACAGTATCCCTGTGGTTGGTCATAAGAGTGAATGACTGGGAGTGCTGCACTGACTGTAACTTTGCAACCAGGTCATAAGTAACTTTCGTGTTGTCCATCACAACTTCTACAAATTGCTAAGCAACTGGTCATAAATTGAGGATTACCTGTACAAACCTGTGAAGTTCATAAATGTGAGGATTTATCACAGAGTTATTTTTTCATTCCCATTATAACTTAAAATGGTCACTAAACAAGGCAGTCAATAAGCAATGACTATTTATAATTTAAATTTGTGCCCTCAAGAACTCCAGCTGTAAATTGTGGAGGAATACGCTGTGCCATCTTCAAGCTACCAAGAATTAACTGTCCCTCTTCTGTTCATTGCTGCATATATCTCCATCCATTAGTCCACCAGTAAGGTGGTTGCTTACAGATTCAAGTCCTCAAGTGACACATTTTGAGAGTGACCATAAACCTGGCTACATTATGAACTCCATTCCAAGGATCTTTTCAGAATAATGCATATATCTGTCCCTAAGATAGGAGGGTGTGAGTCTCTTCTATTGAAGTGGGACCCTGGAGTTCAGTCGGGCTTGTTGGTCACATACCTATCTCCCAGCTTTGTTGCCACAGCCCTGCCCGCACTGCTCGATGTCTTGTCTGAGGTGGCAGTTGAACTCCCCAGACTTTTGGTTGTGGGAGATTTTAATCTGCCTTCGATCGGTGAGTCATCTGAGACAGTCCGGGAGTTCATGGCCACCATGGCAGCCATGGACCTGACTCAGATTATTCAGGGCCCAACTCATAGGGGAGGACACACACTCGACCTGGTTTTTCTCTCTGGGCAGTGGATAAATGATCATGGTAAGGGAGAACTTTCCATCACTCCCCTGTCATGGACTGACCATTCCCTCCTTAGACTAGACTTTCAATCTGCCAACCCCTGCCGCTGGGAGACAGGACCCATAAAATGGTTCCGCCCTAGGCGCCTGATGGACCCAGAAAGGTTCTTGAAGGAGCTTGGGACATTCCCCACCTCTTAATCCTGTGATTCAGCTGAGGCTCTGGTGGCATCCTGGAAATGGGTGGCTACCAACGCCTTGGACAGAATCGCATCTTTGCGGCCTCTAACCTGACGCACATCCCGGATTGCTCCTTGGTTTTCCATGGAGCTCCGGGAAATGAAATGTTGGAAAAGACACTTAGAGGAGAGTTGGAGGTCCTCCCGATCTGAATCTGACCGAACACAGTTAAGAACCCATATTAGGTCTTATCTAATGGCGATGGAAGCGACAAAACGTCACTACTTCGCCGCCCTCATTGCATCTGCAGAAAACCGCCCTGTTTCGTGTGACCTGCTCCCTCCTCAATCAGGGAGCGAGGGAAGACCCTTTGCAGGGCAGAGCTGAGGATTTTGTACAGTTTCTGCATGATAAAATCGCTCAGATCCGGATCAGATTGGACTCTGACTGGGCAGAATCCAATCGGGAGACATGGGTGGGTCTTGAGAATAATATCTGGATTGAGTTTGACCCTGTTTCTGTCAAGGAAGTGGACAGGATTGTGGGCAAACTTAGTTCCTCCACTTGCTTATTGGACCCTTGTCCCTCCTGGTTGGTTTCGGCTGCCAGAGAGGTGACTAGAGACTGGATCCAGGCAATTGTCAATGTTTCATTGAGAGAGGGTAACTTCCCCGCCTTTCTTAAGGAGGCGGTGGTTCAATCTCTCCTCAAGAAGCCTTCCCTGGATCCAGACTCACTTAATAATTGTTATTATTGTTTAATTGTTTTTAATATATAATATTAAATATAATATTTAATAATATTTAATAATATTTAATAATAATAATATTAAATAATATTTAATTGTTTTTAATATATTTTAAGAGCCTTGGTATTACAGTGGTTTAAAGCACCCTGTTATTAACACAGCTGCCTGCAATTTACTGCTGGTTCGAATCTCTCCAAGGCTCAAGGTTGACTCAGCCTTCCATCCTTTCTAAGGTAGGTTAAATGAGGACCCAGTTTGTGGGGGCAATAAGCTGACTTTGTATAAATATACAAAAGGATAAAGGCTATTGCTTAACGCACTGTAAGCCGCCCTGAGTCTTCGGAGAAGGGCGGCATATAAATCAAATTTAAAAAAAAATTGTACTGCATGTTTTTAATTCTGGCTGTACACCGCCCTGAGTCCTCAGGGAGAAGGGCGGTATAGAAATTGGAAATAAATAAATAAAAATAACTATCGTCCCGTCTCCAACCTTTGCTTCATCGCGAAGGTTGTTGAGACTGTAGTGGCTCAACAGCTCCCACAATTCCTGGAGGAAACGGAATACCTTGACCCGTACCAATCAGGCTTCCGACACGGTCACAGCACGGAAACGGCATTGGTCGCTCTGGTGAATGATCTCTGGCGGGCTCGGGATGGGGGTTTTTCCTCCATCCTGGTCCTACTTGACCTCTCAGCGGCTTTTGATACCATCGACCATGGTATCCTACTGTAGCAACTTGTGGGGTTAGGGGTGGGAGGCACTGTCTTACAGTGGTTTTTCTCCTACCTTTCGGGTCGCTTTCAGTTTGTATGGGCGGGAAGGCAGAGATCCACCCCGAGGCCTCTTAATTGTGGGGTGCCTCAGGGGTCGGTTCTCTCCCCCCTGCTCTTTAACATCTATATGAAGCCACTGGGTGAGAACATTTGCGGCTTTGGGGTGAGATATCATCAATATGCTGATGATACCCAATTATACATCTCTACCCCAGACCATCCTAGAGATGCCCTTTCCGTGATGTCCCGTTGCCTGGAGGAGGTACGGGCCTGGATGGGCAGAAACAGAATCAAACTCAATCCCTCTAAGACTGAGTGGCTGTGGATGCCGGCATCTCGGGTTTCAGAGGCTCCATCTCTTTTGATAGATGGGGAAAAACTTGCACCTGTTGATAGGGCTTGCAATTTGGATGCTCGGCTATCCCTAGAAGACCATCTAACGGCCGTGACCAGGGGGACCTTCGCACAGGTTCACCTGGTGTGCCAGTTGCGTCCTTTCCTGGACCGAGATGACCTTCGCACAGTCACTCATGCCCTGGTTACTTCCCGCTTGGATTACTGCAATTCCCTCTACATGGATCTGCCCCTGAGATGCACCCGGAGACTCCAGCTGATCCAGAATGCAGCTGCACGGGTTGTTATGGGAGCCCCTCCTTACTCCCATATAACACACCTCCTGCTTGAGCTGCACTGGTTACCAGTGGTTCTCCAGGTCCGCTTCAAGGTGCTAGTCCTCACCTATAAGGCCCTTCATGATTTAGGTCCGGGATATTTGCATGACCTTTTCCTACCTGCCTTTCACCGTCCTGTTCACTCACATAGGGCCGCTCTCCTCAGGGTTCCAACAGCAAGCCAATGTCACCTTTCTGTGCCCAGGGGTAGGGCGTTCTCTGTGGGTGCTCCCACCCTCTGGAATGAATTACCTACTGAGTTCCGGATGGCTCCTGATCTCCGCTCCTTCCGTCGGGACTTCAAGACTTGGCTTTTCAAACAAATAGGCTGAGACTGATTCCGGGCTTTATTATTTACTACTAATTAATTATTTGGATTAAATTATGATTTTATTGTACTTGTTTCTTAACTTGTGTTCGCCGCCCTGAGTCCTTCGGGAGAATGGCGGCATATAAATACATGTAATAAATAAATAAATAAATAAATATAGGTTGTCAGATAATGTGACAATCTACTCCAGAAATTTGAACATTTTCTGCCCAATAAAGCAGCTGTTCCAAGGTTTAGAGTTAAAAGAGTTGTCACCCAACTTGTCCTTAATTCTATGCTCCTGCTCATCACTTCAGCCTGAGTTTAGACCTTACTTTCATATTGAATAGCCCAAAAACAATTCATTTTGGGTTAGGGTTGAAGCTCCATTAGTGCATCAAGTTAATACATCCTATTTTTAAAAAATCACTGTTAGAAGGGGGAGAACTAGTAACTGAAATGAGATTCTCTCAATTCTCATTTCTTTGAACAATGTTTTTGTTTTCAAGTGTTGAGAATAAAGCCTACCACATTTGAAGATACATCGGTATCCTCTGGCAAAATCCAGAAATGAACCTGCAGTACATATTTAACTATGCAGTTGCATGTAAATATTTAGGCACTATTGGTCAGATTGAATGCTTCAATAAATTAAACTGAACAGAAACTGATCAAATACTTTTGCTTGATGATTAGAGGCAATGTCACTTCATATATGTGACAAACCTCTGTTAATTTTCAATTGTCCTGTAGAGAAATTGCAATTATGGATTGCTGATTATCTTGGTCTATAATTATGTAAAGGCAAGTAATTTTCCTGCTTCTCCAAACCTCTATTGAATTTCAGTAAACAATATCAAAATTATAAACAAAAATAAGGATGTTATTCATATAACCCATACAGTTTAGAATGATTATGAAAATGTACTTGTATGTTGCTCTTACTATGATTAATTGTGTTTTTCAGTCTCCTGAGAAATACAGATTTGACTGATATAAGCCTGCAGACAAAACTAAGAGCATTGCAGTTGAAAATAGATGGATCTGTGTATTGAAAGAGGATTTGTATTCGAGTCGAGGATGTTAATTTTAATGATTTTGCTGGTGGGTTTTTTTCCAAATATGGTAGGCAGAGCTCACATTGTAAAATGCAGTATCCATGATCTTCACCCTCCACTTCATAAATATCATAAGCAAGGAGATCTTATCATTGGTGGTGTACCTACTCTTTCTGGTTTGCTCCCAGTGTCAATAGGCTTCAGAAAACAACCTCCTGTGGCATTGTCTGAAGAAATTCTGTAAGGATTTAAAATTTTGGATATGTTTATTTGGCTTTCTTAATTCCTTGGAGGAATCCATTTTAGAGCTCCAAATAATGACTAGGGCTGAAAAACATCCCATGAAAGATATGTCCCTAAAAGACATATTCATCAGATTTGGCTATTTTGACTCAAGCTGCAGTCCATGTTTTTAGTATTAAAGTAATATTGAAAAGGTGGGGGGGGGAATGAAACACTAAAGGGAACGTATTTCAGGGCATTTGTGTAACTTGTAACTAAATATTCTTCAGTTTGTTCCTTTCCATACTTCATTCTTTTATATCACAGACTCCCATTTTGTCTGTTCCACTCATCTTGTGACTCATTTTTTGATTGCGTTGAACAATTGATATTATCAGCTGTTTCCACTATAAATAATATCACACAAGCATTATTTTCTTCAGTGTCATAGGAGTGTTCCCTATGAACATAACTCTTAAGTATTGTCATACTAAAATATAATCTATTGATGTTCTCTGTGAAATCTATAAGATTAAGTCTACTTAATTTTCTGGGCATTTTATAATTTCTTAAAAGAATCGGAGAGTTGGAAGGGACCTGGAATTCTCCTAATCTACCCCCTGCTCAGGCAGGAAATCCTATGTCATTTCAGACAAATGGTTGTCCAACCTCTTCTTTAAAATGTTCTACTGTTGGAGCATTCACAACTTCTGGAAACAAGTCTTCTGGTGATCATTTTGAGTTTATTGATACCAGATAGCAAAGTTGGTAATAGTCTTTTTTTTAAAACTGCCTATTTCTCCATTTAGAACTTCCTGGCTACTCATGTTTTCTTACCTAAAGACACCTTGAAGTAAAGAGTTTCTTCATATCTTCCCTTGAGATTGAATGAAATTATAAGAAATCAAGAATAGGGAAGATGCTCAGGAGATAATAAGAAAGATGTGCTGCACATACATACCCCTTAGCCCCACTGTATCTAAAACAGAGGAACATGGTGGTTCAGTGGGTAAGACACTGAGCTTGTCAATCAAAAGGTTGGCAGTTCAGCGGTTTGAATCCCTAGGGCTGCATAACGAGGTGAGCTCCCATTACTTGTCCCAGCTTCTGCCAAACGAGCAGTTCGAAAGCACATAAAAAATGCAAGTAAAAAAATAGGGACCACCTTTGGTGGGAAGGTAACAGCGTTCTGTGCGCCTTTGCCATTTAGTCATGCCAGCCACATGACCACAGAGACTGCTTCGGACAGTGCTGGCTCCTCGGCTTTGAAACGGAGAGGAGCACTGCCCCCTAGAGTCGGGAACGACTAGCACATATGTGCGAGGGGAATCTTTTCCTTTACCTTCCTAATTTTCTTCTCCTTCGAAAAACAAAGCATTTTCTAGCAACTGCATTGGCATTTAATAAAACAAAACCACATAATTTTGTGAGAAAGAAATTGTCTTTGATGAAAATATGTTATGGTTTTATATGGAATCACTACAAGCTGTAAAGATCTATTACTCATGGGAATTGTTCTCCAGATCCTGAGACTAAGGCTCTACCTAAAGATCACTTATCTTGACCATGCATATGCATAACATGCCCTCTTTTGATTTTGAGGAGATGGTGAGTATAATTCTAATATTGTTTCTTTCCTCACTGCCTCAGAAAAGATAACCAAGTTGTAATAATATCCAAATCACACTGACAATCAGAAACAAACAATACAAACAACTGAATATATATGGTATGTATAAGATTTTTCTGTAAATGTTAGCCATCTTTCTGATATCAAATACAACTCCTGTTATAGCCTGATACCTAAGAATTACCAGCACATACTGGCCTTGGTATTTGCAGTAAAGGAGATCAATGAAAACCCACAGATTTTATCCAATTTTACCTTGGGCTTCCATATCTATGACAGCTATGACAATGCCCAGAGGACTTATCAGACCACCATGCTCCTTCTATCATCAGAAGAGAGGTTGATTCCCAACTATACATGTGACAATCAACACAATCTGATAGCAGTTATTGGGGGTCTTGATTCCACTGTTTCTCGTCATATAGCAACTATTTTGGATATCTATAAAATTCCACAGGTAGGATAATTATTCATGAAAAAGTTGGGAATGTAACATTTTTTCATACCACTGTTTTTATAACATAACATGTATCTTTCCAAATTTTCTCATTTTATTTGTATTATATCAGAAGCAGCAATGCATGATTAATTCTTAACTGATGTCAGAGTTCATGGCATCAATAGAATCGCAAAGAATATCTTTGAGGCATTTTATAAAACCTTCTGCTTTTTATTATACACAGACTCTAACATACTATTCTAACCTATACAAGGCATAACACAGATCATTTAAATATTTTAAAGTCTTTATCCAATGGAATTTATAATTTTTGAATTATTGAATTTTTTGGGTTGGCAAGAATTCTAGATATCATCCTGTATTCTCTAGAACTTGCTTTAAGAAATTCAAAAAGAATTCATTGTGGTCTGCATAATTCTTACCCAGTGCTACCTATATACTTTCTTCTGGGACTTATGCTATATTTCTAGATCAAATCTCTACCACTTTCTGAATATCATTCAGTATTCAGAAAGATCCTTTTCAATCCATTTTATTTCTTGATAGAGTACTAGCTGAGTTTGGCTCCATATGTGGCATAGCTTGGTTCCTGTTTAAATTTAAATTAAAATTAAAAACTGTGTCTATATTCTAGATGGAAGTTGTATCAGCAACTTTTTCTTCTCTACCAAATAATTTGGTGAAGCCCATTTATATTCCATTTTTTCAGAAACAAGAAACTGTAATTCAGGTTGTCCCAAAGGAGCTTTTTCAAGAGGCCACTGGTATCAGTTTTGGAAACCATATTAGGCCAGAAGCTTCCATTCGCCACCTTCTCATGTGAGGGAAAGTAGGACAGGGGATTTAATAGAAAGGTTGTCTTTAGACATAATAGCATTCTTCCTGTCAGTCAAGGTCAGGCCGATCCTGCATCTGGAGAAGGAGTGGTCAGAGTGCTGTCTCAAATGCTTGCTTCAGAGTTTTTACTTGAAGATTCGGGTTAATGTCAGCGTTTCAGAAAACCCCCAACTCCAAGTAAAAACTCTGAAGCAAGCATTTTTCAAAGTTCTATTTACTAGAATAGGTAAACTGGCACATCTAGGAAAACCCGAATCTGAGAGGTCCGGGTTTTTCCTCAGTAAATCAAACCCCCCAAAACCATCCCCTCACTCCTCAGTCAATCACATGCTGCAATCACCATCCGTCCCATCTCGAGATAGCACCCCAACTACTCCTTCTCTGTAAGCAGGATCAGCCTGACCTTGACCAACAGGAAGAATGCTATTATGTCTAAAGACAATCTCTCTATTAAATCCCCCCTCCTACTTCCCCACACTTCAGAGTTTTTACTTGGAGTTGGGGGGTTTTCTGGAACACTGACAGCTGGACTTTCTTGTTTTTCTTTGAAGACATTTTGCTTCTTATTCAAGAACTTCAGCCACTTAAATTCCACTGGAAGTTAAAAGACAATATCCTGATACTTACTAGGAAAATTTTATTAATAACATAAATGGCATAGGGCCTAGCTATCTTTGAGACCGCCTGCTGCTACCGACGACCTCCCATCGACCCGTGCGCTCCCACAGAGAGGGCCTCCTCGGGGTGCCATCAGCCAAACAGTGCAGGCTGGTGACCCCCCAGGGGGAGGGCCTTCTCTGAGGGGGCACCTACCCTCTGAAATCAGCTGCCCCCAGAGATAAGGAGAATCCAAGACCTCAGTGCCTTCCGTCGTGCCCTTAAAACCCATTTTTTCAAGCAAGCCGGGCTGGCTTAAGAAGAAATTTTTAAATGTTTTAAATGTTTTAATTGGTAGTGAGTTTTAATTGGGCCAAATTTATATATCTTTTAATTGTTTTTTAATATTTGTACTGCATGTTTTTAATTCTGGCTGTACACCACCCTGAGTCCTCAGGGAGAAGGGCGGTATAGAAATTCAATAATAAATAAATAAATAAATAAATAAATAAATAAATAAATAAATAAATGTCCATCTCATCAAGTGTACATTAATTTTAGGAAGAGTAGTGCAGAATTTCTGACACAATTGATTAGGATATATAGACTTATTGTTTTCTTTACCACTTATTGTCTCTCCTTAGCTCACCTATGGCTCTGCTCCAGTCATGAATGACAAAACTCCAGGCCTTTTCTTTTACCAGACCACTCCTCAAGAATCTCTCCAATATCCAGGAATTGTCTCTTTGTTGCTGCATTTCAAGTGGTTTTGGATTGGAGTCATTGCTATTGATAATGATAATGGAGAAAGATTTTTACAAGCCATCTCACTGATTTTTTCTCAGAGTGATATCTGCTTGGCCTTCATTGAAAGGGTATTTATTTATTTCCTTCACATCAGTTACATGCTGCAACAGGGAACAAAAATATATTATAAATTGATGGGCAGCAAAGCTAATGTAGTACTAATTCATGGAGAATCATATTCTATGGCACTTTATGGTTGGCTTCCATATTTTTATGAATTACAGACAGATAGGGCTAAAGGTAAAGTATGGATAGCAACAACTCAGCTAGAGTTTCTATCACTTGCTTTGCAAAGAAATTGGGAAGCAGAAGTGTTCCATGGGGCATTATCATTCAAAATTCACTCCAATGATATATCAGGATTCAGGTGGTTTCTTGAAAACATAAGTCCTTACAACTCAAAAGATGGCTTCATTGGTGACTTTTGGCAACAAGTTTTCACTTGTGCACTCCCAAACTCCATGGAGGAAGATGTGAGTATTTGCACTGGGAAAGAGAAGTTGGAGAGCCTTCCTGGGGCATTTTTTGAAATGGCCATGACTACCCCCAGCTATAGCATCTACAATGCTGTTCAAGCAGTGGCCCATGCTATCCATGACATGACTTTCTCTAACATCAAATTCAGAGCAAAGAGGGATGCTCAAGGACAGAATCTGCAAAGTCAAAAACACTGGCAGGTAATGTTTCAAAAGTTTGAACTAGTTTGTTTTTTTAGTTTACTTTATTGTCATTGCACCTCGTACAACGAAATTAAATGCCATCTTCAGTGTATATCATACATAAGAAAACTATAAAAATAAAACAAAAACATACATCCTTCATAATCTATACAATTGAATTGAAAACCCCTGATACTGCATTAATATTGCACTATACAGTAGAATTCAATATAGTTACTGCTCTGGAATAGAAAATGTTTTTCAGCCTATTTGTCCTTGTTTTTCTTGTCCTGTATCATCTACCAGATGGTAATATTAAAAAAAAAAAAAAAGGTGCCCAGGATGAGATGGATCTTTAAGAATGTTCTGAACTTTCTTAAGGCAGCGGGAGCTGTAAAGCTCTTCCAAGGAGGGGAGAGGGCAACCAACGATCCTCTGGGCAATTATTTTAATCCTCTGGAGCGCTGTCCTATATGCCACTGTTCAATTAGCAAAACATACACAGGTGCAGTAAGTTAAAATACTCTCTATGGTGCAGCGGTAGAAGGTCACCATCAGTTTTTCATTCAGTTGTTGTTTCCTGAGAAGTCTCAGGTAGTATAATCTCTGCTGGGCCCTTTTGACCAGTGCTGCAATGTGAGTGCCCCAGGTCAGATCCACTTTTATGATAACACCAGAAACTTAAAACTGGCCACTTGCTCCACTCGGTCTCCATTGATAAGCAAGGGCTGAATGTCTGATCTACTCCTTCTATAGTCCACTATAAGCTCCTTGGTCTTATTGGGCTTAAGGACCAGGTTATTGTCTCCACACCATGAAAGCAACCAGTTCACCTCATCTCGATAGGCAGACTCATCCCCTCTGGAGATGAGTCCCTCCACTGTTGTATCATCTGAAAATTTAATAATAGTATTACTGGCATGAGTGGGAATGCAGTCATGTACATAAAGAGTATAGAGTAAGAGACTCAAGACTCTTGAGTCACTGTGGTGTACCAGTGTTAAGAATAAGGGCTGAGGAGGTATGATTACCTAATCTGACCCTCTGAGAGCAGCCAGACAGGAAATCTATAATCCAAAGGAAGATTGAATAAGAAAGCCCAAGGACCATAAATTTAGACACTAGTCTATGTGGAACAATTGTGTTAAATGCAGAACTAAAATCTACAAAAAGCATCCTCACAGAGCCCCCCCTCCCCCCCCCGTTGTTCCAGATGAGTCAGAGCAGTGTGAAGAGTAATAGCGTCCTCTGCAGATCTATTTGTTCTGTATGAAAACTGGTGTTTATCAAATATATATTAAACTAGCTGAATACCCGTGCTCTGCTACGAAACTATGTGATCGGGCTTGATAAATCGACACTTACAGCTTGAAAATTAATGAGTAGTTAAAATTGGCCTCTCCTCTCCCCTTCTCTCCCTCAGCCTTGCCCCCTAGAAACATCTCTTATCCTATCTGCTTCTCTCCCTTAGGCTTGCCCCACAGAAGCCTCCCCTATCCTCTCCCCTTCTCTCCCTCAGCCTTGCCCCACAGAAACATCTCCTATTCTATCTCCTTTTCTCCCTCAGGCTTGCCCCACAGAAGCCTCCCCTGTCCTATCCCCTTCTCTCCCTCAGTCTTGCCCCACAGAAGCCTCCCTATCCTATCCCCTTCTGTCCACCAGGCTTGCCCTACAGAAGCCACTCCTATCCTATCCCCTTCTCTCCAGAGTTATTTTCAGGGGGAGTAGAAAGTCTAACTAATTAGCATCAGAGCGTGTTAATAATAATATAGGAAATACTAATGCTCTGATGGTCATTTCGAAAAATCCTTTCTTAGTGAGCATCTAGAAGCCAAGAGGAACATACGTGGCAAATTTCAAGTTTGTAGGCTTTACAGTTCTGGAGATTTCGTGATTACGGCGTGAGTGGTTTTTGCTTTTATATATATAGATACAAATATAACTTGAATCCTATAAAACATGTACATATAACTATTATGACTTTTTCATTATCTCACATTTGTTTGCCATCTTCTCTCTACCAACTAAATGAAACATCCTGTATTTCGTTTGTTTCCTGCTCTCCTCTGGATATCTGGTCTTCATTTACACAAAAAGTGGGGTTATTATCTGTTATACCTCTATTAATTTTTACAGAGCACTAGAAACTCTGATGATTAAAATAAACAAAACCAAACAATATTAAAGAAAAAGAGAGAAAAGAATAAAGCAAAATAGCATGGAATTAAAAAGTTCAGAGGACATTAAGGATTTCTGTTGTGCCACAGTTTGTAAGGTGCTTCTGTAAGGCCACCTTGGAGTACTTGCATTCTCCAAGTAGTATGTTATAATATGAAAAAGTTTGGACTATTGGTTACGATATGCAGAGCTTCTATTGCTCTATCATTATGTTCTTGGTGACCATGAATATTCCTATCTCATTGCACTCGTGTCAGAAATGCCAAGGCGCTTCCTGTTTGAAAGGATTAGCCAATGACATCATTGTTACCCAGGGAATACTCAGCTGGGAGCTCCTTTCATGTCCATGGCAGGAGCTAGAGCTAAGGACAAGAGCTCACTCTGCCCCATGGAAGCACTCGGATCTCAAACAAGGGCTTCTAAACCTCCAACCCAGTGTCCTAACCACATGAGCCACCATGCTCTTATTATTCCTATGATCCACTTATATGGATCATGAGATCATTTCCAAAGCATAGGACTGCACAACGAGTAACTATCAGGAATGGGCAGTGTGGATTTGGAAGGCCAAAAGGGGTTCAGACATATGAGCAGTACTTATGACAAACATCAAAAAAAAATAAAACACTGCTGTCTTTTGTTGTAAGGTAGACAGCAGCTTTTTATTCAATCAGTCAGTCAATCAATTTTTATGGACACCCATCTCAGTCAATGATTCTGAGCAGCTTCCAGTTAAAAAATATGTATTAGAATTAAAAATATTAAAAAACCTTTTTAATATTTTATTTTAAAACCAATAAAAACAGCAAAACCAATAAAAACACTAAAAACATCCAAATTAAATATGCATAGAAGAAATATGCTTGGCCAATTAGCAATATAGCCAGGGAATGGGGTCTTTGACACATTCAATGCCCCCAGGCTCAGGGATATAGCCAAGGCTCACAGCTATATGAGCCCAGGAAAAAAGGTTACTGCTTCTGTCTAGGAACAATATTAGAAAGAACAGAATCGATTATTGTAATTTGGGTTGATTTGAATACTTTCTTCCAATATGCTTCTCCCTCCCTAACGGCATTAAATGCCATTATTTTGCTCCAACCATCAGTTAGAATATAAAATTTCACTTTTGTCTTACATGTCATATTTCTGTTACTAATGTAGCTCCACCACTTTCTGAGATGTACCTCATTTAATAATACTGCTCAAGATAGGATCACCTTCAACCAGAAAGGAGAGCTGGTGACTGGATTTGATATCTTCAACTGGATTATTTTTTCCAACCTCTCTTTACAAAGAGTGAAAGTTGGGAGTGTAGATCCCCTGGCACCTGCAGATCAAATGTTCACCATTAATGATGATGTCATTACCTGGCACAGCTGGTTTAACCAGGTAGGAAACAGCAGCAGATGTGGGTATAGTGATTAACACTGTTAGGTTCAGCTAACAGTATATTGTCCTGCCCAATGGGGAGAATGTTAGGTTCAGCTTGTAGCTTACTCCTAACTTGTTGGTCAGGCAATATATCTGTTTCTTTAAGAAACAACTGAGCCACGTAATCAGGGTTTGCTGAACCCTGTAATTAGGCTACAGTGCATAAATAAGCAGTGCAGAGAAGCGTTCTTTCTTCCTGACTGTTTCTGTTGCTTCCTGCGTCTTTCTGCTGATTGGTGTTAGACTGAATTGTTATATGGTACTGTATACCAAGAGTTACCAAAGTCTGTTTGCTTTGGTAAGGGAAGATACTTACTGGACTGATATTACTGTTTATGACCTTGGACTGTTTTACCTACACCGAGACTGCTTATTATCTTGTATATAAAGTATTTTTCTCACACGAGCTGCACGTTTATCTCCTTCCCTGTGTGTTTCTGCTCTGCTCGTTGCACAAGCAACAAATACTTTTTACACACACCCTAACAAACACTGATGTATGTGTGCATGCATATGTATAGATGGATACAGATCTTCGAATTATGACCACAAATGAACTCAAAATTTATATTGCTAAGTTAGTTTTGTCCAATTTTACAACCTTTCTTGCCACAATTGTTAAGTGAATCACTGCACTTGTTAAATTAACAACATGGTTGTTAAGCTTCCCCATTGACTTTGCCTGTAAGAAGGTTGTAAAAGGTGATCACATGACCACCAGGTGATCACAAGTGTCCCAACACTTAACTGTCATAAATATGTGTCATTTGCCAAGCATCTGAATTTTGATCACGTGACTATGGGGATGCTGCAACAGTCATAAGTAGCCATTACAGGCTACTTATATAGTATATAACAGTCATTGTAGCTTTGAATGGTCACTAAATGAACTGTTGTAAATAGAGGGCTACCTGTACAGATACAGGTATGAATACAGGTAAAGATATGGGACAGCACAGAGTTTTCTACCTGGTAATCTTGCCAGCAAATTTATTTAGTAAGAAAATGTAATTAGGAATTTAAAATAGAAGGATAGGAAGAAGGGAGGGAGGGGGGAGGGAGGGAGGGAGGGAGGGAGGGAGGGAGGAAGGAAGGAAGGAAGGAAGGAAGGAAGGAAGGAAGGAAGGAAGGAAGGAAGGAAGGAAGGAAGGGGGAAGCGGGGAAGTTAGTGACAGGAGGGGGGGAATCAAGTAAGCAGAAACTAATGCTACTTAGAGGTCCTTTGGACCAGAAATGTTCATAGCAAGCCAAAATGATATCAAAAGGACAATACATGACATCATCACAGAAATGGCACAATTATGTAATGATGTCTGATGCAAACAAAGGCTATCGTTTGGTCCTCATCCTCTTACTGTCATGCAGACAAACATGCTTTAATGAAAGGCAAAAAGATGCTGTAAAACCAAAGAACCAAAACATCATTTTAAGCTTAAAGTGAGCAGAAGATGAAGTTGTATGTCAGGTTAAAATGCATTCAGACTTATTGTCTAGCAAAATCATTTCCTCTCCAAAATGTAAGGAAATGAATCGTGAGTTTTCTTAGCAATGATAATATCCTAAGAGTCAAACGACTTCAAATTACTTTCCATTATGTCCAACATTCTGCCATAAAGCAGCTCCCAAATGAAGATCTCTTAATTCAACCTACCTAACCCATATATTATTGAAACACGTTTTACCAGTTTAATAACATACAGAAAAGCCCAGGAACTAATCTTTTCTGTCTTATTTTCAGTATGAATGTCCTTCTCTTTTATTTTAGACTCGGCCTTTATCGCTATGTAGTGAACACTGCCATCCTGGCTCTAGCAAAAAAGTGAGGGAAGGGGAGCCATTTTGTTGTTATGACTGTGTCCTGTGTCCCAAAGGGAAAATTTCAGACAAAGAAGGTAAGAAATATCATTTTGCAGATAGGAGATAGATGACTTCATTTTGAGAGCCAAGTTCAATTGCATGAAGTGGTCAGATGTGCTCCAAGCTTACCTTGGATTTTATAGATAGTTCTCAATTTATCACCAGTTTATCACCATCAAACAGTTAGCAACTGTTCAAAGTAATACAGGATCACCCTCCTGTACCTCCGGGTACTTACAACCAAGTTACAAAATTATGAAGGACCTGCCTGAGGTATTTATGACTCAGTTCTGAAGTTCCAACAGCCAACTTCCCCCCTCCCCCATGGTCACATGACCACAGTTGAGATGCTCAGCAGCTGGCCAATTTTTGTGGCTGTTTGTGACATTCCACATGACCACGTTTTACAGTTTATTTATTTATTTATTTTGCTGAAAACTGGAATTTACTTTTGGTTTTCCACCAAAATACCCCCATAGTCAACCTGGTTTGGTTTGCTTAACAACTGGGATGTTCGCTTAATGACCACCTAAAAAAAATTGAAATGGATCTGGTCATGTGATGATCCATTTTACAACCATCACAACTTATGACCATGATGAGCAGTCATCATTATGATAGTAACTTGAGGACTAGCTGTATGTCTAGCTCTGGGATAATGGTTATGTGCCAACAAATCAATGTTAGAATGTAGAATTCCAACAGAGTTGGAAGGGACCTTGGAGGTCTTCTATTCCAAGCCCCAGCTCAAGAAGGAGAACCTGTACCATTTCAGATAAATGGTTATTCAGCCTCTTCTTAAAAGCCTTCAGTGATGGAGCACCTATAGCAATGCATTCCATTGATTAGTTGTTCTCACTGTTAGGAAATTTCTCCTTAGTTCTTGGTTGCTTCTCTCATTAATTAGTTTCCATCTATTGTTTCTTGTCTTGCCTTTCTGTTCTACCCCAGCTACAGACCCCAAAGAATGCAGCACACACAAAATCTATACAAAGCTTATTTTACTCAAATAACTCAGTCTTTTTCAACCAAAGGCTGTTAATAAACTGTCTTAACAACCTACTAAGATAAGGCAATCACAGTCTTACTAGGGTTGGCAGTAAGCCCAGAAGCAATTTTGCAGAGAGTCCAGACGCGAAGGAGAGTGAACTAAAGTTGTTCCCTACAGCTTGCTGCAATCGGCGTTCCTTCTTAAATAGGCTAAGGGAGTGGCCAATTAGCCCCAAGCTTTATTCTTGAGACCTCATCCTGAGGAGCCATTCCTGCCTTTTGGCAGTTCTGCGTACCCATTCATTGAGAAGAGGCTCCTTCCCTTTGTCCTCTTCACTTAAAGGAGCTTCTGGAGGATCTGAAGGCCCTGGCTGAATCCCTGCCTCTGGCACCACATCTTCTCCAGCCTCCTCAGTGTCCGACTCGAGCGCCAGCTGCACAGGCTGCTGGCGCAGCACCACACCAGCCTCCTCGTTGTCAGAATCAGCTACAATCTGCACAGGCCGCTGACAAGCCACAACACTTTGGATGCTTTGGAAAATAGATTGACCCCCTCATCTTTGTGGTAGTCCCTCAAGTATTGGAACATTGCTGTTCTGTGTTGATCCTTAGCAATCTCATAGGTACATTTTCTCCAAGATGATTTTCTGTCCACGCAGTTTTCTTGGAGTGGTTTACCATTTTCTTCTCCAGTGCAGTGTTGAGCGGTCTATCTGCTGCTGCTAACGGAAGTCGACAATGACTGCTGGAAGCGGCATGTGTGTGTGTGATCGGGAGGGGGTGGTCGCACGTCACGGGTGTTGATGATGGGTTTTGGGGTGTGGATAGGGCTCTGCTTGCACGGTGATGGGCGGAGCGGGATCGCGTGGGGAGATGGGTGTGGGACATTTAGGGTTAATAGATCTGGGCTGACATCAGCACGGGACGCCCCTGGAAACTGGAAAGGTGGAAACGGATGCCGGCTTCTCAGCGCGCTATTTAAACAGCGCTAAACGCTGATGCGGGAACTCTGACTTGATTGCTGTTAGCATATCGGTAGCAAGCTGTTGCTCTTAGCTGCAAATAAACCATCTTCGAACCACCACCCAAGCGTGTTTCTTTGTGGAATTGCTCTGGCAGCCAGCGTTGCCGAGATGCAGTATGTAATGATCAGTTCGCCATCTGCAGCATTTTCTTTTATTGCTGTTGCCCAATGTAAGTCCCTGCATATTTAGGCTGAGCAGCTGGGATGACCTTCACACCTTGGGTGAGTCTGCTGGGAGTTTAAATTCTTGGCACACACTCCCAGCTTTCCTCACTCTTCTTTTCCATAAACATCTGCCTGTTCCTCCTTTGCCAGGGGGAGGCAGCACTTTATGGAGGAAGGACTTCATGGAGAGATCTGAGATATGATTCATAAAAAAGTGTTGCTCTATTATGGGGGGAGGAATCCAAAGTGCTCTAATATTTATGTTTTCAGCCCAAATGAATGAAGTTTGCAAAGTTTTTAAGGACACAAAGCCTACTGCCACAGAATTGCTTTCTGCCTGTGCTTTTCTGTCTTCTTAAAAAGTGTGGTAACTTTTTCAAGTAGCTCGAATGAAATATCCAGTGGAATTTATACTGCTGCCAAAGGTCAAAGGAATTTGTGGAGAAAGATTTCTGCAAAAGGATGACTAAATATATTAGCAGTCTGATGAAAATATGGTGGAAAAATAAGGAATGAATGATGTGGTGTGTTTGATGTGGTGTGGTTTGTGATCTAGTATATATTCTATATTCAACCAAAGTAACTAGGTAATATGATAATCCAAAATCAAAGGAAATATTTTATTTATTTTATTTATTTATTTTATTGGACTTATATAACGCGCTTTCTCCACAAGGACTCAAGGTGGCTCACAACAATAAGCAGCAACAAGTCCAGATTAAAATTCAAACAATAAAAGAAACTAAAATTCCCATTAAAACCCCATTCAGTCCAGGCCAGCCTGGTGAAACAACCATGTTTTAAGGTCACGGCGGAAAGAGCGAAAGTCAGGGGCCACCCGGAGCTCCAAGGGGAGCTGATTCCAGAGGGTAGGTGCGCCTACAGAGAAGGCTCGCTCTCTAGGGGCCATCAGTCGGCATTGCTTGGGCAATGGGACCCCAAGTAGGCCCTTTCTGTGTGAGCGCACCAGGCGATGGGGAGCTGTTGTTGGCCGCAGATGATCCGCCAAATACCACGGGCCTAAGCCATGTAGGGCTTTATAGGTGATCACCAACACCTTGAACCTCACCCGGAAGGCAACCGGTAGCCAATGCAGGTCACACAGGAAGGGTGTGACATGGGAGCATCGGGACACTCCCATCACTACCCGCGCGGCTGCATTCTGCACCAGCTGAAACCTCGAGTGGTTTTCAAGGGCAGCCCCATGTAGAGAGTGTTGCAATAGTCGATCCGGGAGGTGACGAGTGCATGGGTGACCGTGCGTAAGTCATCTCGGTCCAGGTAGGGGCGCAACTGGAGCACCAGACAAATCTGGGCAAATGCCCCCCTGGTCACGGTCATAACATGGTCTTCTAAGGTCAACCGTGCATCCAGGAGAATGCCTAAGTTGCGCGCCCCACAGGGAGCAACACCTCCCCCTATGACCAAAGATGCAATATTCCCTTGGAACCGAGATGTCGGTACCCACAGCCACTCCGTCTTGGAAGGGTTCAGTCAGAGCCTGTCCCTCTCCATCCAGAGCCGCACCACCTGCAGGCATCGGGACATCACGTCGAGGGCATCACTGGGCTGATTCAGGGTCAATATAAAAAGTTGGGTATCATCAGCATACTGATGATACCCCACCCCAAAACCATGGATGTTCTCCCCCAGCGGCTTCATATAGATGTTAAACAGCAGGGGAGAGAGAACCGACCCCTGGGGAATCCCACATGTGAGGTGCCTCGGGGTCGATCTCTGCCCCCCCAACAACACTGCTTGCGAGCATCCAGAGAGGTAGGAGGAGAACCACCATAAAACAGTGCCTCCCACTCCCAACCCCTCGAGGCGCCACAGCAAGATACCATGGTTGATGGTATCAAAAGCCGCCAAGAGATCTAACAGGACCAGGGCAGAGGAATATCCTCTGTTCCTAGCCCTCAAGAAATCATCCACCGGTGCGACCAATGCCTTCTCCGTGCTGTACCCGGGCCTGAAGCCCGACTGGTACGGGTCTAGGTATGATGCTTCATTCAGGACCAGCGGGAGCTGACGTGCCACCATGCTCTCAACAACCTTCGCAATAAAGCGAAGGTTGGAGACAGGATGAAAATTGTTTAAAATAACTGGATCCAAGGTGGGCTTCTTGAGGAGGGGCCTCATCACCGCCTCCTTCAAATATATCAAAACTTATTGGGGTGAATATTTACTGTTGTAAGTTAAGGACTAACTGTGTTTCTCTCAGCTGTCTGAGAGAAACACAAGTGGTCCTCAACTTACAACAGTTCATTTAGTGACCATTCAATGTTACAATGGCACTGAAAAAAAGTGGTTTATGACTTTTTACAATTTTTCACAGTTACAACCTTTGCAGCATCCCCATGGTCATGTGATCAGAATTCAGATGCTTGGCAACTGGTTTATTTTTATGATCGTTTACAGTGTCCTGGGGTCATGTGATCCCCTTTTGTGACCTTCTTACAAGCAAAGTCAGTGGGAAGCAAGATTCACTTAATAACAGTATTACTAACGTAACGACTGCAATGATTCTCTTGACAACTATGGCAAGAAAGGTTGTAAAATAAGGCAAAACTTACCAAATGTTTCATTTAGGAACATAAATTTTAGGCTCAGTTGTGATTGTAACTGGAGGACTACCAGTAATTAGGGCAGAGAATTATGACAACTGCAAAAGTTAAACACTGTCTTTTCTTTTTCAGACATGAATGAGTGTAAGAAATGTTCAGACAAAGAGTTTGCAAATAAGAATCAAGATTTCTGTTACCCTAAGATTATAACATTTCTGTCTTACAAAGAACCTTTGGGAATCGCTTTTACTTTCCTGGCATTTTTCTTTTTTTCATTGACAGCTCTGGTGCTTGGCATATTTATGACACATCACCACACTCCCATTGTCAGAGCCAACAACCAGAGTCTTACCTACACTCTCCTCATCTCCCTCCTGTTCTGCTTCCTTTGCACATTGCTATTCATTGGCAAACCAAGAAAAGTGGTCTGTCTTCTTCAACAAACAGCATTGGGCATCATCTTTTCAGTGGCTGTTTCTTGTGTGCTGGCCAAAACCATCACAGTGGTTCTGGCTTTCATGGCCACCAAACCAGGATCCAGGATGAGGAAGTTGGTGGGGAAAAGACTGGCCAGCTCTATTGTTCTTTCCTGCTTTCTAATTCAAGCAGGCATCTGTGTTGGATGGTTGACAATTTCTCCCCCTTTTCCAGGCATGGATATGTATTCAGTGACTGAAGAAATTGTACTGCAATGCAGTGCAGGTTCTATGGTTATGTTTTACTCTGTATTGGGCTATCTGGGCTTCCTGGCCATTATCAGTTTTGCTGTGGCTTTCCTTGCTAGGAAATTACCAGATACTTTTAATGAAGCCAAGTTTATCACTTTCAGTATGTTGGTCTTTTGTAGTGTTTGGCTCTCTTTTGTTCCAACCTACCTGAGTTCCAAGGGAAAATATACAGTTGCTGTGGAGATGTTCTCTATCTTAGCCTCCGGTGCTGGACTCCTAGGATGTATCTTTTTTCCAAAATGTTATATAATTTTGTTAAAGCCTAAATTGAACAAGGGGCAAATAATGAGAAAAAAATGTTGAAGAATTTAATCCTATCCTTTATCAGAAGCTACCCTTCTTTTTAGTCTTGAACTATCTCAATGGTTTCTTAAAATATTCTCAAATAGACACTTCTAGGACTTGAGAATAAAGTCCTAGAAGTGAATAAAGATTTGCCTTTATTAAAACTGAATAAAGGTTTGCCAAAAGAAAACAAAGACAGGAATTTTCTCCCTGATTATTTTCAGAAACTCTTAATAAATCTCATATGCTATTGTTCTTTTAATTTTTGGCATTCAATTCTTCTAGCTGGATTACTATTGACAAAGAAAGACCAATTGTTGAGAACATGTATGCGATAGCACAAGCTTACTTAAAGACAAGCAGAAAATATACTTTCTTTGACCAGAACAAAGTTGGTTGTAACAAGTTCATTTTATGCTACTCACTGTGTACAGTATAAAGAGAATGATCTACTGAACTATTAATTTAAAGTCATGACATTTCTTTCAAACAGGATCTCTCTGAAATCATTGTATCACAAAACCTCTGTAAAATAAATTGAACTGAATAATTGTTCTAAAGTAACCTAGAGACATTCTGTAGTTGGTAATAGACAAAAATCTATACCTCCCTGATTTTAGACCTATAGGTGTATCATTAAGATTCTGACAAGTTTCAGTGAGTGATTCAGTTTGACAAAGTTCCAATCTCTCTCTCTCTCTCTCTCTCTCTCTCCCCCCCCCACTCTCTCTCTCTCAGAGATAGAAAAGAGATAGAGGGGGAGGGAGGGAGAGAAGGAGAGGGAGATATCAATTCCATATATGGAGAAAAATTGAATAATAGGCACTCTAATACTGACATGAGCAATCCACCAATGAGAGTTATCATCTCACCTCATGTAACAGACCTCTTTGAGTGAAGCAAGACTAATGTAATTTTGGGTTTTATTTATTGTCGTTTTTAAAAGTATACTGTATATGTGTCCAACTATGAGCCTTACCTTTCTCTTCTGTCTACACTGGAATAGCCCAGGCAGCTGGAAGAAAAATTCAGCTCTCTATATATTCTATATAGCTGATGAAAGGCAAATAACTATTTTCCAGAACATCATAACTTTAGGATTTTGCAAAGACATATGTAACACACAGTGTTACTTTGGTTGTATATCCAACAATACAATGATTTACATATTCCTTTTCTTTATAAACCCTTTTTCTATGTCAGTGACCTTCCCAGCATGACCAACTTCCCATCATTCTCCACAGCTATCCCTCTCTTCCTATTACAGCATGTCAAGTAAAATAAATGCTGAGTGCTGGGACAACATTTTTGTATCAAAATGTATTGAGTACCAAATTTGAAGAAGTAGTGTACTGAGGTACCACTGTACAGAAATAATCTTGGGAGACATGTAAAACAGACACAGCCAGTGGAGTAGTTAGTGGAGTAGTTAGAAGTAGTTAGGTAGAGTAGTAGTAGTAGTAAGAGCAGTGATGGTATTCAGCCAGTTCTATTGGGTTCAGGCAAACTGGTAGCGATGGCTGCGGGACGCTCCGCCCACCCTCCTGGACATCACCACGTCCCATTTTTGACGCTCTGCGTATGCACAGAAGGCCCTGTTGCATGTGCTCACATTTGCAAACTGGTAGCAAAGGTAAGTTTAGTTTAGTTTAGTTTAGTTGATTTGTATACCGCCCTACTCCCGAAGGACTCAGGGTGGTGAACAGCCAAACAATAAAATACATAGATACAAAAAATTTAAAAAACCACATAAAATCAAATTAAATCATTTTGGCCCAGACAGATTAAAACACCCCGATAACTTAAAAACAGATTAAAATTTACATATTTAAAAAAGGAAGAGATTAGGCCAAGCCCACTTGATGGAATAAAAAGGTCTTCACAGCGCGGTGGAAGGTGCGCAGATCCGGGATCCTCCGTATCTCCAGGGGGAGCTCATTCCAGATGGTAGGTGCCCCCACAGAGAAGGCTCTCCCCCTAGGGGCCGCCAGTAGACACTGTTTGACTGATGGCACCCGAAGGAGTCCCTCTCTATGAGAGCGTACTGGCCGGTGGGAGGCTATTGGTGGTAGTAGGCGGTCCCGTAGATAACCAGGTCCTAAGCCATGGAGTGCTTTAAAGGTGGTAACCAAAACCTTGAAGTACACCCGGAAGACCACTGGGAGCCAGTGCAGCTCGCACAGGAGAGGTGTTACATAGGAGCGCCATGTCACTCCCATTACCACCCGCGCGGCCTCACTCTGCGCCAGTTGGAGCCTCCGGGTGCTCCTCAAGGGGAGCCCCATGTAGAGAGCATTGCAATAGTCCAGGCGGGAGGTGATGAGGGCATGAGTGACCGTGCGTAATGAGTCCTGATCCAGAAAGGGACGCAACTGGTGAATCTGGCGAACCTGATGAAAAATCCTCCCGGTCATGGCCGTCAAGTGCTCTTCTAAAGACAGCCGTGAATCCAGGAGGACGCCTAAGTTGCGAGCCCTCTCCGTGGGGGCCAATGATTCGCCCCCAATAGTCAGTGATGGTGTCAACTGACTATATCGGGACGTCGGAAACCACAGCCACTCGGTCTTGGATGGGTTGAGCCTGAGCCTGTTCCTCCCCATCCAGATCCGTACGGCCTCCAGGCACCGGGACATCACTTCAAGGGCATCGTTGGGGTGATCCGGGGTGGAGATGTACAGCTGGGTGTCATCAGTGTACTGATGGTACTCCACCCCGAAACCACGGATGATCTCGCCCAGCGGCTTCACATAAATGTTGAACAGGAGAGGCGAGAGGACCAACCCTTGCGGCACCCCACATATGACGGGCCTCGGGGTCGACCTCTGTCCCCCTGTCAACACAGACTGCGACCGGTCAGAGAGAAAGGAGGAGAATCACCGCAACACAGTGCCTCCCACCCCTAACTCTTCCAACCGGTGCAGCATGATACCATGGTCGATGGTATCAAAAGCTGCTGAGAGATCTAACAGGACCAGGACAGAGGAGCACCCTCTGTCCTGAGCCCTCCAGAGATCATCAACCAACGTGACCAATGCCATTTCCGTGCTGTACCCAGGCCTGAAGCCCGACTGGAATGGATCCAGATACGTCGTTTCATCCAGGTGATGGGGGAGCTGTTGCGCAACCACACTCTCAACAACCTTCACCACAAAATGAAGGTTGGAGACCGGACGATAATTTACCAACATTGCCGGGTCCAGGGAAGGCTTCTTGAGGAGAGGCCTCACCACTGCCTCTTTCAAGGCGGCAGGAAAGACACCCTCACCCAACAAAGCATTTATAATCCCCTGGAACCAGCCTCGTGTCACCTCCCGAGAAGCCAGCACTAACTAGGAGGGACACGGGTCCAATAAACAAGTGGTCGCGTTCAGTCTACCCAGAATCCTGTCCACGTCCTCAGGGGTCACAGGATCAAACTCATCCCAGATAACATTCTCAAGACCTGCCCCAGTCCCTCCCCCTGAGACTACCCAGTCAGAGTCCAGATCTTCCCGAATCTGAGTGATTTTGTCATACAGATATTGAACAAAATCCTCGGCTCTACCCTCCAAGGGGTCCTCCCGCGCTTCCTGGTGGAGCAGGGAGCGGGTCACCCTAAACAGGGCGGCCGGGCGATTATCTGATGACGCGATATGAGCAGCCAAATAGCTACATTTCTCTGCTTTTATCGCCACTAGGTAATTCCTAATATGAGATCTTACCAGTGCCCGGTCAGATTCAGAAAGACTGGCCCTCCAACTACTCTCTAGGCGTCTTTTCCGGCGCTTCAACTCCCTCAGCTCCTCAGTGAACCAAGGAGCTAAATGAGATCGGCGCCGGGTCAGAGGCCGCAAAGGCACGACCCGGTCCAGAGCTCCAGCAGCTGCCCTATCCCAGGCAGCCACTAGGTCTCCAGTCGAGGCGTGTGCCAGAGCCTCAGGGAATGGCCCAAGCTCCATCTGGAACCTGTCAGGTTCCATCAGGTGCCTGGGGCGGAACCATCTTACCGGCTCCGCCTCCCTGCGGCAGGGTGTAGCAGTTCAAAGGTCGATACGAAGGAGAGAGTGATCAGACCATGACAAGGGCTCGGTGACTATATCCCCTATCTCGAGATCACTCAACCACTGTCCAGAGACAAAAACCAGATCCAGCGTGTTTCCCCCCATGTAGGTAGGGCCATGAATTAACTGGGTCAGGTCCATGGCTGTCATGGAAGCCATGAACTCCTGAGCCACCTCCGACGCCTCACCCACGGACGGCAGGTTGAAATCCCCCATGACCATAAGCCTAGGGGTATCAACCGCCACCGCGGCGATGACATTGAGTAGCTCAGGCAGGGCTGCTGCCACGTGGCAGGGAGCCAGGTACGTGATCAGCAAACCCCTCTGAACCCCATGACCCTATTTCACAAGGAGGGATCCAGTCATCGGAGGAACGGTGGCCTCCCTAGGTCTCAGACCATTTTTAATGATAACCGCTACCCCCCCACCCCTCCCCTGTGACCTTGGCTGATGGAATGCATGGAAACCTGGTGGGCACATTTCAATGAGGGGAACCCCCCCTCCTGGCCCAACCAGGTCTCCATAATACCTGCCAGGTCCGCACCCCCCTCCTGAATAAGATCACAAATGAGGGGGGCTTTATTTACTACGACCTGGCATTGCATAGCATCAGCCGAAGGCCTGGGCCCTGAGAGTCTATGCAACCTGGAGAACGGGTGGACCCTTGGGGGCCGGAGCACGCCATCGCTCGTAAACAGCGAGTGCGCGCTCACCTAACACGATATGGCCTCCTACTCCCGCCATATCTACCCTTCCCACCCACAGTATTGATGTTTGAAACACTATCCGGATGAGCTCTGACACCCCCCTCGACCCCAGGTGCCCCACCCCTCTTGCCGCACTTCGAGGCCAGACCCGACCCTCCCCCTTGTGGGTTTTCCCTCAAACCCACAACCCGAGTTCTAATTCGACCCTCCCCCTCCCTGGGACCCCTTAAAAGTTTAATTAAAAATTTTGATAAAAAACCCCTCAACACCC